ATAATTACTAAAAATATTATAATTTATATAAAAATATTAATACTCTTTTTCTATAAGTAGGTTTTTAATAAGACTAATATATATATAAGATATTAATACTCTTTTCTTATAAAAAGGTTTTTAATGAGATTAATATTTATATATATATATTATATAAAGACGGTATATATTAAAGGGGACTATTGTTTTTATATAAAAATAATATAATAATACATCTTTTTATATATATATATATATATATAGTTCTATATTCATATACTATACTAAGAGCGATTCACAGGATCACATGACCAATCACGTGATCGTCGCTTATAAGCTTTCGAAAACGACCATTATTAGTTTCCGAAAACAACTATATTAGGATCCGAAAACGACCATTAATAAAGAATATAAAAAGGAGCTTTATTTCGAAGGAATGGCCGGATTAGGAAGAGATCTACGAGAGATAAACGAAAGCGGAAAGCTAGGTTAGAATAGAAAAGGTATATAATATAGACTTTTTCCCTCTTAATATAGGATAAGAAATTCAATACCACAATACAGATTCCTAAATATCACGTGTTTTCATTGCTTTTTAGTTGTTAAACTAAGCCAGCTTCCCATAATAGACTAATATTAGTCTAATCCCTCTTATATTCTATATATACTCTATACTCATATACCTGCTCATGACCTACAATAATAATAATGAGTGCGGATATATCTTAGGATCGTTCTTAGATTATAATATGTCCTGTTATTTTTAGTAGAATTGTATAATTGAGTTGTAGATCTAGATATTATTGAGTTCTTTTTTTAAATTAAGTTGATTGAATTATTAGGGATTTTTGTTAATAGTATTCGCTTCGTTCGTCTCATGGTGAAAATCATTGGATTCAAAAGCAGTACAGCTTCCTCGAATCATATCCAAGTCTTGTAAATAGAGAAAAAGATGATAGTGCTTTTGTATACATTTTGAGTTGATCGATTAGATGATCTGTTTGTTGGGATTCTTGTGTGAGACTTTCTATCTGTTACTTTTGTAGTATATAGCTGAGAGTGTCCTGAACATATGTAGAATTTCGATTTTGGTTCCGGATACGAAATAAATATTGGGAATATTCCATCTTGACTACGATAGTAGATGTAGAGCTTGGAATGCACGCAGCGATATATGTCTACATAATGAATGAGAATGAAGAGGATAAAGATAACTAAGAGATTCAAGTACTGGTAGGAATGGTACATGTGTACCAGAAACTTTCAATATTCGACGATGCGTGGCTTTTTACAGGTCGACTAGATATTATGAACACCATCACTATATCCGTAAACTCGAGTCTTGAACTAGCTTTTCCTCTGAAAATAAATTCACAATCAGCAATCTCTTATTGTGAAAGCAGTCCGGACGATTACAAGCTTAACGTTCGATCAAAAAATCTTGCTTGGCCGTGCCACAAGTTTATGCGTGCGCACTATGTACCCAGAACTGAAATGTAAAAGTGCCAGAGTAAATGATGACATCGGAGCAAAGGTGAAATCAAAAGCTCTCTAGTATGCATGGGTGAAGTATAATGAAGAGCATATCTAAGCACAAGGGAGCGTCCCCACGATATCGAAGTGCTAGAGATTGAGAAATTCGAGAACGGTGTGGTGGATAGTGGCCAATTCCGAGAATGCCATCGAGAAGAGTGATTGGATTAATAATACTGACCGATGAGGAGGATAAAAATTCCAATCCGAGATTTCGGTAAAGCAAGCTTTATTTTGTGAGTACTGTGTCTGATTTGAATTGTTCTTTTAGAGTATGCGGATGGTAGAATAACATCTCATACTGTAGAAAGCCTCGATGGACATGCAGGAATGCGAAAGTAACAATTAATGCATTTCTCGCACCCAGAACTGCAGCATGTAAACTCACCGTCGAGAGTCAATGGTACCTCCTTCTTTTGAAGGGTCAAGCGCAGTCAATATCTCATCGTTACTTTTACCTGGATTGCCCAAGTAGTCTTAAATCTTGGACAAGATCGTCTTCAGCCGTAGCTCAGGGAGAATTACGAATCTGGATTTGGCGAGCCAGAAGATTCCAATAGTGTTGATCTACCGTGTATTTTTCAGCATTGTTCTCAACGTTCTCTTGATAACTTCCTCAATGATGTTATTCAGATTATTCTGCTCTCAAAGAAATTTCATGTGACCGCGTCATTTGATATAAAGCCCTCAATTTGGGACGTAGGGGGAAGCAACATGGCTATAGATTACACCCACGGTTCCAGCCAAATCCAAAAATTCACCAAGGAATATGCGAAATTCTCCGCGAGAGAATCGTAAATTTTCCTCAGATTTTCGTAAGTTCTTCAACTGAGCCATTTGCTTGAGTGCCAGTGTCTTCCCCGCAACATGTTCTCTAGGTTCATGCTCGTACACGGGATTAGAAATGATATTACTGACTTCTCGAATGTAGGGAACACTATTTCTTACTAAGACCCGCTATATTCTCTTCCATGTTACTTCCTGTAGGTTGGGACAACAACGGGACTTTATCATTATCATTAGAATCTACAGATCAGTATAGGCAATAGTATTTCCCGTAATCAATATACAAATCAGTATAGTGATGATCATTGGATTTCTTTGAAATATTGTTATATATGATATAAAAAGCTGTATCACTGAAGATATTCAATATTATTAATAATATATTAAAATACTAGAATCTATTATAATACATCTATTTCTATTTAAATTCAATAATAGATTATATATTCTTATTTCAAATTAAACTAAAATATCTAGTTTTTAATATAATATAAATAGAAATAAATATATTATAATGGATTCCAGTGTTTCAATATATAAAAATATTTATAGAAATAATATATCAACCTTTAACTACTATATTAATATATAAATACGCGCTATAGTTTTACTGTAGTATACTATTGCCTATACTGCTACAGGTAGAATCGTTAAAAAATTAGAAATACAGATCTACAGTATAGAAAAAACGAAGGAAAGCGCATACAACCATCATATTTACGTGAGAGGGTGTTTTCAACCCCATTTTCCTGTTTCAGCAGTAATCAAAATCAACAAAATGGGCTTAGAAAATCTATATAACAGATGATTCAAGATATGAACGACTGTTGCAAAGTAAACAGGTGAGGTTCATCATAAGCCTAGTGGTAACATTCTGCCAGGTATGCGACTCTAATAATAGAAAATGGCGCACGTCTTACAAACAAGCGGTGCAGGCCATTCAAAATTGACGAGAATTATCCGAAGATCGTTGGCGGCCAGTACCGAGGCCGGTAACGAATAATTGGCCAATCACCCTAAAAGTGGATTTTGAGGTGAGATTTGAGTAATTTGTGAGGTATGTGAAAGTTTTGACTCTGATTATCACTATACGAAAATAACTTTACTTGAGATGTATCAAATATTTTAACTCTCAGGTTAAAGTTCTATTTATTTTTGAATGACGAAATAATTGATTGAAAGAAACCCATGTTTCCACCATTTTATTCTATTTTTAAAGAGGCCTGGCTAATCATTCCTTGCCGGCCGCGGGAGAGTACCGGACGGAATGGGAAGAAGAAGTTTTCGACACCAATCCTTTCTCTTTCACGTGTTGTCGCATTAGTTGAGGATGACCTCGAATGGTAATAACAAATGAGTAGATACTTACTTCTCTGTGAAGAGAGTCAATGGATAATAATAAGTTTAATTGAGAGGATGAATGAATGGGATACATATCATTAGAATCTTGGTTCAAACGCATGAATAATTACTATTAAATACACCAATCCCGAGTCTCCGGGATTTATTCTTATTTGTGTTTGGAAAGTAAAGATAAATCGTTTCTTTCCTTTCAGTGTGAAGTACGAAGCCAAGAGTTATTGGAACTACCCAGAGGATGTTGAAAGGTGTCCAGCAATAACCCGCCTCGCAATTGGATTTTGATAACAGATGACCGACCATCGACTTTTCAAAACCTTACCACACTTATTGATTATAATAACATGATAACAAAGCGAATCACGATTTTCATTAAACACTCAATCTTGCGGGATACATCCGACTACCAGGAGATCGCAACAACATCACGGAGGCCGATTGGTAGGCCAACCAACTGCGTGCTGCGTAATTTTCTGGATCTTTCCGGCCACGATAATATGCTTCACTGGAAGATTCTTTCTAGCTGAAATTATCATCATGAATGAGTATCAAGGCTATCAAAAGTGTGGAAATCTAGACCAAATAGTAGACCATCTAGCCGATTCCCAGTTTTCATTCAACCATGAGCGATGGACCGACTTACGATCTGGTCTTAAACAGGCACGCATCAAACCCCGGTCTAATGCTAAGGTCATTATCAATTCAGATTGGAAATCTATTTGGAGATTCGAATGGTCGTTGACCAGGGTAGCCGTATTTTCTTTTGTTGGAAATCGTGCACATGTCCATCAACACCACTCAGGCCGGTGAGAGGTGACGAAATTCAATTAACAATGGAGCTTTTTGACGTGATGGTTGTGTTACTACGTACATTATGGTGGAGCTAAGTGATCGTGAAAGGTATATAAAAGCAGGATTCCATCCATCAATAACAACATCATCACCACAATCAACTCACAATCACAACAACTATTCGCTAGTTTAGACGTCTCAAGTTACAACCTTACAAACCATACATAGTCATATATATAACAAGAGTCATCTCTTCTCATCCACAATTTATTACGGACTAAACGAATCTACAAAGTAACCTTTCAGATCCAACCAAAATGTCAAGTTCAAAAGTAGAAACACCCGAGGCAAGAATTGCTAGGCTTTTAAAGCATGACAATGTTATAGCCTACAATACATATTGCAAGAAGGTGACGGACAATGAGAAACGGCCAGAGGTTGTGAGATATTGGAAGGCCGTTAGAACTTATAAAGCCAGTGAAGCCAAGGAAGAGGTGGTGAACTTCGTAAAAGCCCGAGGTCGAAAGGCTTCAAAGCAAGATCTTGACAAGATGAGGGAGGGAAAATATGTCAAGGAATTTGAGGAAGCAGAAAAAACAATGAATAAGCTCGCCGACGAGGAACGCGTGAAAACCCACCGCGAGGCTAAGGAAACTAAGAAGAGAATGGAAGAAAAGAGCCTCGAAGTGGTGCAATATATCATGGCTAAACAAAGCTTGGAGAGCAATAAAGAAACGAATGAGGTCAAAAAAAGTCTCCTTCAACCTTCAGGTAGCTCAACAGGGAGCACGCGAAACCCATCCAATGGTGGCGATGGAAATGCTACGCAGACAAGGCCACGGACAAGGAAGGCTAACGAGGAACTTGATTTCCCCACAAAAGCATGGCGCAATTCCCCCAAACCACAGGATTTCTTCGACAACCTTTTACCCGCGGCAGATAGAGGTCCTAGAAAGACACGAAGAGAAGGATCGAGAGACAGATCGGCTCCCCAGACAGATTCTAAGTCTTCAGCATCTGCATCCAAAGAGAGTGAGCCCAAAAGAAATAGTGGCAAGAATCGCAGAGCAAGTCCTCATACCGACATGGAACGAAATATGGGTAAAAGAGGGTAATAAAGGCGTAAACGTAGGAAAAAGCAGGGCGTAGGTTGCTCAGTGGAAGTTACCATAGTTGGGAGACAGGGGAAAGACTGCGGGCTGGGCGCTAGGAGTTCCAATGTTTTGCATTTTTCCTATGCTTCATTTTAGAATCCAACTCAAGGTATTCCAAAAACATGGTGCAATGTGATTTACAACCTTTGAAGCTTGGCATACATAATCAGTGCATCTATTGTAGAATATCTGCTTTTCCAATTTTTGATCATTTTATTCTCGTGATAACTCATAATGATAAAAATTAAGGGCAGCAAATACACTCACCTCATACACCACAACGGTAACAAAGTAATCATGCCTGCTTTTCTTTTCTTCCCTCAATTCAGGATCATCTATGAAAATCCCGTAAACGAGATGTAACGGATCGCCACATCAATGATTCGATATGGATACCTGATGTATTCTCTGATGAGCCATCGTTGTAGATACCCTCCAATTCGATTAATCGAACATGTGCTTGATAATTTTCTAGTCCTGCTACTCCGCGTGTCACACTTTACAACCTTTGTATCAATGCGATAGACATGATCAAAATGTTGCTCAAGAATAACTGGCATGTGTCCTGAGAAGAGGAAAAGGAAATGCGAGAGTAGCAAAGACGACACAAACCAAGCTAAAACCCGTCCGAGGATTGAGAGACTGTCTCAACTGCGACATTGGCTATGACATCGATGTAGTTCTGTGCTCACCTAGCCAGCCCTATGTAGAACGAATGCAAATTCTTAGTCCGCTTGGAATTATTTATATCCACCGGATTTTGTTACAACCGTAAAATACTCTGCTATCGAAATCGAGCTCAAGTCCGTCCCCTTCTTCTAACTGTGAGGCAAGGCCACATTATCATAGAAATATCAAAAACTAACGCTCAGCAAAATATATCCCTTTGCACATTAATAGATAAAAGATTGTTTGAAATTTCATATCCTTTGCGACTTTCCCATATTCACATCTTCGAGGTCATATGAAAAGGATTTAGTCAAGTTAAAACACTCCGATGTACGACTTTTGTTGCAAGTCGTCAAGTATGGAATTCTTCGAATTCCCCATGTTTTACATTAAGATCTCCATCTTCTCCAAAACTTCTCCATAAGAAGGTCCGCGAATTGGATAGCCATCATATGCTTTATGATTGTAGGAATATCCTATCTCTTTCAGTCCCGAGTCGAGAGCTTTGGAGCTACAACGACGGACTACTTGCGACATCGAGAGAATGGTTGGAATGGTTTTTGTGAGATATTTGTGGGGACCTCAGTATACTTCCTGTGAAAAACAGTTACCGTATCTCCAAATGGGGTTCAGAATCGAGGGATCAACGTCTCAACTAGCCCCAACGTATTTCCGGTGAGACAAAACCCACTTGGGCAGATCGACCGTTCTTCGAACAGGTTGTTGAGGGAAGTTCTAAACTCAATAGCACGACGAAAAGTTGTTAGAATGAAAGTATAATAACGAAAGGATTTTCAGATTTTCAGATTTGATTTGACGTGTCCGATCTTTTACAAAGCTCCAACATTCATAGGAACTGACCTACAAAGCCTTTCACTCTTCTTCAAGTACCGAAGGAAATGTGGAGATAAGAAATAGGAGGATCTTGATCGTAAAGCTAAGAAACTCATGGAATCGAACTATGCTAAACCGCGTGAGAAATGGTTACTACACCATGTAGGCTTTGTGATGATTATCTGATGGGCAATCGATCTATTTTCCTCTTCGATCTCGCAAAGTGTTTAGCAATGAGAGAAATTGTATGAATATAGATCAGCCTTACCTTATCAGTGTTGACGTTTTACTTCAGCCACCACTTAAATCATGCAATGTCAATGTATATCAAATGCTACAATTGCTTAGTACACTGTCGATACTTTCTTAGTCTTGGATTTTTAGAACCATGAAAGATAGTGGACGATCCTCTGGTCTCAAGTGCTGCTATCTGTAGCCAGTCTTGTCACAGATGCGAGCAATAAAACACAATGGCTACACAAGATATTAAATCTATAGCCAACATGTATCGCCTCCAACAGTAGAATATGGGAACCATGATTATTAGCTGGCCAGTGATAGCACATCACGTGATACGCCAAGCAGTTCTCCACTCTTGGACGAAAGCAATGGCAAACGATTGGCGGGTTCGTATCTTGGTGATCTTGGTTGTTAGGAGATCAATAGGGGAATTGGTTTCTGAACTGAATAGAGTGAGGTCGCCATGCCCTTCTCAATTTCATTCAGAGCTTGGCATTTCTTGATACAAACTCGAGACGCGTATTCCCGTCGAGGCGATGCATGCTTGTAAAGTGACCTCGGATACGGTATACGGTATACGAAATGCGATATACGGTATGCGAAGCTTTTGTTTTCAATGCCAAGGATTCCAATTGGAGGTAAGATGAGCTGGGCGAGCCACTGGGCGCGAGGGGGTAGTTTGATAGGAAGCTGCTATATAACGCATAAAGATACTGGCGAGAGACTGGTTGCTATCGATGGTGTGGGAATCGTGCAATGTTTGTTAAACAGCGTTTTTCGTTCGAGGTTTAGAAAGATATGTTAATGGACTTAAAGCCTTCTTGAAACGAACCTGGTTGGCCTTTGGTGATAACGTCTTAAAATAACGTCTTGAGATAGCGATCTGCCGTAGAAGCGGCACGACGCTGTCAACATGAGCATGTCACTGTGCGGGGAAGCGTTAAATACAGACAAGGACTGATCTTCAGTCAGTCGGATGCAGATTGTTGCAGCCAGTGATTTATGAAAGTTGAGGGGGAATTCCAAATCTGTTCGCTAAGGTTCGTATAAATTGATTTGAAAGTACCTCAGCCTCGAGCTCAGCCTCCTCCCATCAATCGTTAACCTTATTCGACTGCGCTAGTGGAAATCATGTCGGTAGACGGGATTTGCTCACTTCCGGCGGTTTTTTTTCCCAAACGAGACGAGTTGCTAAAAGAGGACATCACCGCATCTTCGTCAACGATGTGCGCGATTTGTTTTGATGGAGAATTTTATCTAATTGCCATGTGGAAGAGAACGGCATCCGATCAGTTTTGTGCTTGGTGGGGGCTTTTCAATCGCATGCACTGTCAAATGCCAGGATTTTGCTGGATGCCTTTTGGCGGCAACAGAAAAGTTTCTGTTGATGGATTAGGTTCCAAAAAATATATATTATTATATTAGTACGAAGTATGCCTTTGAATTTCGATGTTTGAGCGGGGAAACGGTAAACTGGAATTTCCGATCACGTTTTTGGAGTTGTGGAAAATGATTCCATGACAGCTAGCTTACATGCTAGATAGATATGCACATCAAAAATCTGATCCGATGATGAAATCATAATTGGGAACCATATGACAGATATAGAAATAGGAACCATGGCAGTTAGAAATGTATAAACAGTCAAAGAGCAAACTAATCCAGCATCTGGAAAAAATCGATTAGTCTGCATCAATAGAGCCGCCGGGTCCTCTAAGCAAATCTAGCTAACTAGCTCCAACTAAGTTCTTCTTCGTGCTAGTGATCGTGATCGTGATCGTGATAGTGATGACGATGTCGATATCGATGTCGATGAATGTTGTCGTAGGTGAGTGTACATATGATTCGATACATCCAATAAGATACAAATCAACTTCGTGCGTTGCTCTGCTGGCGTTGTGTCAAATAAACTTTGGGAGTGTTCTCACGTTGATGGAGGAAGCAGATACCATTGAGCCCAACGATTGAGTCTCTCGGTTTGCTGTTTGTCGAGACTGTATGGTCAGCTGTATGGTCACCGGTCAGTAGGAACACTATGGTCAGTAGATTGCTAGACAATCTCACGATCTCATGAAGCTCATTAGATTTAGCTCTGCCCATACGAGCGGAGACCTGATCGGAATATGAACCGGTTATTACGGACTTTTTTGATTTTCCATGAAAATTCTTTAAGTATAGCTCCACAGTTCTACTCTGTATGATTCACCGCGGTTGGATACTAAAATGTGTCAGCCTTGTAGGAATGACATTCATGCGTGTAACGAAGAGAAATTGAGCAAAAAATACCTTAATTTTTGCTCGGATATTAGGATATAAGGATATATTTCAAAGTGGTTATGCAACTTAAACTTGATTACCCACTGATTATTTATCAAAGCCATTGCACTCCGTAGATGTTTTGTCATCATCGACCATCATACCATGGTCAATGCTTGATGTAAGGGAGATTGAATTGAGTTCTCGAAGCTTTTGGAGCTTTTGGATCTTTCAAATATGTCAAAATATGTCACATTTATTCTATGCCCAAGTACCTACTCCCGGATACTTTAAGTGTTCACGGGTGAGGGTGGGTTTGAGCCTTGATGTCGGCTCGAGGTGGGATGGGATAAAATCATAGATTCAATGCTTACGAGATCAAAGTATCATCACCGTGTCCAGAGTACGTGTAGATTCTCCTTCTAGAATCTAATACGTTCAGAAGAAGACATTAAAGCAGCAGCACTCCATTTCTTTTTGCAAGTCTAACCTTAATGCTATCTATCCCTAGCAGCTCAAGAGTCAACTCTGACTTCGGTGACATGTAGTCACAAATTAGGGTTTTTAAGTTCCCCTTTGGTCTAATTCATGAATCTGTCTATGCCCAACATGTAAAATTACGATGGACGACGTTTATGCTTCCATTGAAAACATACCCTATTGGTCCTAATTGATTCATTCTTATCATTCAAAATTGGTACCACCAATGCCCTGTTCAGTTTGACTTTCGTGAACCTTTTTTTCTCACCCCTTCACCCCTTCATTCCAACATTTTGGAGTGATGCGAGAAGCGAAAAATGTAATTCCTTTCTATTGCCATACATTCATTTGTATTGATACCGAGTTACTTCCAACACCAATCCTGGTCATCTCATCCGTCCCCAACGTCGAACCTGAATACACGAAAAGTCCATATCCCGCAATCCATTCGATGCCAATCTTGAATCTACTCTACGGAGTATAGGAGCTTGGGAGAACCCATGCATGATTACTTATTTTACTTTATTTGACTGCGCGGACTTAAGGATTCAATCCGAATGACTGGGATCCAAGAGTCTAGGACTTTATCAGCAAGGGGACGTAACGCTTTTTTCCACCGGATCACCTCACATAATCAAAAATATCACCCGCCGTTTCGGTCGACGGGTATAAGGTTTCCTTCCAGGTCCGCCATTAGATATCAAAAGGCGCCTAGCACTTGGGGTTCCCATTTTTAATTATTTTCATATAATTAACGGTCGACCTTTCCAAGTGATACATAGTTTATTACCACGCATAATCCCACGACTGCATGTCTTTTCGACCTTACAAATCTTTAACTTCCATCTTACTTAGTACTCAGTAGTATCTTGTTAGTTTCTATACACTCATAAAAGGTTTCCATAGCTTTGTTCTGGAAACACTTCTATTTTTTCGAAAGTCCATATTGATGATCACTCAATTCGGAATTTCAATTTCAAGATGACTAATTCCGACGACATCAATCATCCAAAGGGTTCAAAACATGTGGTACGAAAGCGCAAGAGAGAGAGTAAGTCAAGTGGACAATTAGTTCCCACATCTCCCAATGAAGCTGGCAAACGACACAAAAGAGCTACGAGAGCATGTGAGCGTTGTCGCAATAAGAAGATAAAAGTATGTACATCATCGTATGAAGAGATTTGTCTTTCAAGTTCTAATCATACGACAGTGCGATATTGAACGTGATATTGCGTGCAATGCGTGTGTCGATGCCAATGTGATATGCGAGTCAGGCAATGGAAAGCACACGGAAATCAAAAAGTATCCTCCAGGGTGAGTGAATTTCTACAGTCGTACAAAACGGCATCTGACATGTGAACTCAGATACACTGAGTGCCTAGAACATAGTAACCAGGCCATGATACTTGTTACCGACAAGCTCTGGCGCATGGTAAAGAATAGAGAGGAATGGACTTTTGCAGAGCCTAGGATGAAGGATGGAGGGAAAGGACCTGTGGTTATTCATGATATAGCTCAGGCACTCGGATGTATACGCAATGCACCTGGACTTCCAGAAAACTTCATTGAGGACGCTCCAGCTCTACTGGCTCGATTATCAGCAGAATCTTTAGCAGAAGAGAGATCGCAACTTGACGAGGGGATCCAGACCGAAGCCACCAGGTCTAGCGAAGGGGCAGCTTCACCAGAATCAATCGAGGAAGAAACTTCCCCAGAAACTCCACCAACATTCTCCAAATGGATGCCTTTACCGATTTATCAGTCAGACTCATTTACTCCTTTACCCGGGACAGCGCATCGTAGTTTAGATAAGCCTTCTATTCAACCGCAGCAGCAATCGGTAAACCAAGATCGAAAACTAGACAACTCTAGAATGTCACATGGACCCACGATTAAGTCAGAAAGTACGAGCCAATTTTCAAACGTCAACATGCTTGTAGGAAACATGATGAATGATCCATCAAACTTTCCGGCGAGGGAATCATTCAGCAACCGAAATACCGCGACAGTGGATGTCCGTCGAGCACCTGGACTAAAGATAGAACCACAGCCTTATAATGCTCAAGAGCAACCGGCGTTATCTGCGTCGTCTACAGTATCATCGTTCTCTAATACACATCATACAAACTCGCCATTACAGTCTATTAACTCAACATTCTCACCTGTTTACCAGGCAAGCACACCATTATCATATTCTGAACATTCTAATCAATTCCACGCTTCGTCATCTTCATCGCCATATCTTACTCACTTGCAAAAAGATCCATGTCTATCCCCTAGTCCGGCTCTTGATGACTTCTCGAACCCACAATTCTACGACCCCGACATGCTATTATTCAATATCCAAGGTGCCGGCAACTCTTTCGATGAAGCATCTTACTTGTCGTCGAATGATCTCATGTTTAGCTCGGGCTTCGATGAACCAGTCGGGGACTTTTCGTCTGTAGATGAATCTTACCGCCAGGATTTGTCAAATTATTAAAACGATGAGGGTTTTTTCAAGGCAGGACGGTTTGCGATTTACAATGTAATTTTTCGGAGGGTTTCCTAGTAATCACCTGAATCTACCGTGTTCACCATGGGAGCGGTTTCATTCTCACTTTGCTATGGTTTAAGACGGAGGATTTAACAAGGTCACGATTCATGGATTAAGGAGTTATAGGAACAGGGATATATATACCAGGGCGTTATCAATTGGTTGAATGTGTGGGATCCCAGGATTAACTTGGGAATGATAGACGACATGTATATTTTAGAGTTGCGCAAAGCGACCATGTGGACTAGGATACTTGATCAAATCGATTAGTGTAGTTTTCTTAGGTTTCACTGAAGAAGAATAGCTAGCCAGGACTCTTTTAGGTCCTGGGGGCAACAATTTCAGCGCTCTTTCTTGGAGTCGAGAGAAAGTCAACTCGGCGTCTATCTAATAGACGATCCTTCATCCTCTCTATCTCTTGGTGGTAACGTGTCAAAGTCTAATAACATGATGTGAGTTGTTCATCTCTCTAAAATCGAATTTAGGAAATAGAGCGGAGCTGCGTCCAGTGAGTCGGGTCTTTACTATATCCCAGGATATCGATATATCAACATCCATATCAATACCAATCTCGACGATTGAAGTACTTGGTTCACCGTATCTCGAAAAAACTCACCCATTGCAAAGATAGACTCTCCTCAACTCCTGCCCTGAAGTGGGAAATAGCCAGTACTTCGTAGACATCCCAGGAAAGCTTACATGTGCAAACACACTCCGCGGTGATTATTAAGTCGATAAGGTTGTTTACCTTGCTGGTTTAGTTGTCCCCAGGACGTTGTGGGATACCAATCAGAACCCGACGGTGCGGAGTTTATGCATGTCCGGCATATACAAGGGTGTGAATGTCCACAGAATGTCCACACAATGTCCAAATGTCCAAATGTCCAGCGACGGGTGAGTAAGCTTTTTGCTCGTCTTTTTGTGCATAAAATTTAATGCTCGCGCGCGCGTTGAATGAAGTCCGTCCACATTTACATACCTGGGTAGTTATGTAGTAGTTATGAAATTATTATGTATGTGGCTTGCGGAGGGATTCGGACACAAGTCTCTTTCTCCTCTCCGGTGCTCATAATGAGTAATTATGAAAACCTTAGGTTCTTGTAGACCGAGTGCCTCCGCCCCGCTGTATCCGTTCTATCCATTCTATCCATTGACCTGGGTAAAAATCAAGACATCATATGATATGATCTTTTATATCACAATCTACAACCTACGAACCACAGACCGCGAACCACGAACCATGATTAATTACATCAACCATCAAAATCTGTTCCTGACCCTGGTTCAATGCGGGATTTACTTTACCTACTCTGTACAGAATTCCATACATGGGCGGCATATAGATAGTGTCAACGTCAATCGAAGACTCGACACATTGCGAGAAAGCAAGAAGGAAGTGCCGAATTGCCGGTCGGATATGCTATTTGATGTTCCCGAATTCAGTGGTGGGTGGGATGCGATGGAGGTGGATGCCACTGGATGGTCGACGGTGGATGGTGGATGAGTAAGTTACTGATATTATGGAGTCCTGACTACTGAGTGTGTGATGAACGAGAACTTGTTTATTAAACACATCCATCCTTCACACATTTCTTTCTTCACATCCGCGGATATAACATAGTAATGTGGATATGCATTCGAGAAAACCAAACGTGGCTTCTATCAGATGATTTTACAGAATCTTTTTCAATGGATGGATATACGATTAATGATCATCTATTTAGGTTCTGCATCTACGGCGCAAATTAACGTATAACTTACGACGTATTCGTATATTCGTTTGTACGCACTTATTCAGCGTGGTGTATACCCCTTTGAGCATAGATTCCACAGCACGGAGGATGTGTGCGACAAACAAGATCACAATACCAATCAACAAACGGACGAATCCCAAAAGTCTCCGCGTCGGGCCCGAGTACGGAGACTAGAATCCGAGAAATGTACCGCTCGGAGGGTTTTTCTTTCTACACGCCGTTTGAACTTGGGATGGATGGGATGAGAGGGGCTGAATGACAAGGTGTGTACACCTTCAATATGCATGCACCCGCCGTACGAGTCATCCAGATATACCGCACCAGTTTCTTGAATCTTACACGCTCACGCTATCCTAAGATCACCGTCTAATTTATAGAATATATGTAGTCTTTTCGGGCTTGATAATCCCTGAAGCGGATCCCTAGGTAGGTAGATGCAACCAATTTTTTACGTTTACGTGATCGGGGATTAGTGATCCCGAAAAACAATTTGTGCAGTTCTAGCCCCCAAAGTTGGGGAAGGGAGGGTCGCTGTTTTAATTTTGATGAAATGTCATGCTAGGTACATCTATCGTACTCTGTAAGTTTTTGACTGGAGACGAGATGAGATGTAAGGTCCAGCCTTATCCAGGGACCACACGCATTCTTGTATGTGCCGCTAATATGCTGCGGGGAATGTGGCAGAAGAGGTGGAAGCCGAGTTATAGAGTGCTGATGACTCGGGTCTATCATATCCGATCTTACATACCGTGAGACAGTTGTTGGAATTATTTGTTTTTCAATATAGATGTTGTAAGTACCTGATCTGCTCACTTACCATACTGAGAGGATGATTGGATAGCAAGGTAAGTCTACTTTGTCTGATATAAAGTGTAGCGTAGACTGTAAGCATACAAGTGTTATGTTTCAGTTGCTGTCAGCCTGCATTATGACAATCGGGATTATAGAACCGACAGATTTGCAGTCTGTCAGCTTCATTTCCAGGCACCTTACTATCGTCTGGAATCCATGGAGGGTATGCTTACAATATGTCTACTTGATGCCTAGGGTGCTAGGGCAATAAAGACGCATTCAACAAACAAATCAGGCTATTCACATCGCATCTTCTACACGCTCTTGTAATGCTTGGCTATTGTTGAGGTGTGTAGGAGCTGGCAATTCGGAGATTACTCCAATACTCTTTTCCGCAGGGAAGTAAGTATCTTTCTTTACTATTTGCACTGCATTCTATGCGGGGTTTTGAGAATGGTTGTTCGGCTTTTGTAACAGTACCTTTCGCCGAAACAAGTTTCTCCTTGGAAAAAGATTGTTTCAATATTACCGCTTTTTTGGTTGGGTTCTTTCGATGGTCTGCTATTGGAGTATGTTCAGTGTAGTCAACGTCGTGATTAATTCCATTATGATGCGACGAGAACCTGCGGATACTTTTGCTCGAGCTACAAGTAGGTGGTTAGGGTAGGCTGCCTCGATAAATTCCCTTTTATTTTTCGTGATAATGATTCATGTGAGAGCTTTCACGATTTTCTTTTTCATCACACAAGTGCTTGTTGTGTTAGTCCGTCTATTCTTTTCTCAAAACTTACCAAAGAAGCAATCTTCACACAAAAAGGCAACCGAGAGTGGTAATCAATTAGCAACATGTTGCGCTGGTCTATCCTTCTAATGTTGCTCAAAGTGCATCCAAGTATCGATATGCCCTGATCAAGGCAACATCATTTTTTACTCCTATCTGATAATATCAAAAACAAACGTTGGTTCACGATCACAGTACATGTTGTTCACTGCAGTCATATGAGCCCTCCCTAAGCGTTAATTCTTTCGGAATGCTTTCTTCGGGTCTACAAGTTAGTTCATTGTTCTCAGGCAAGATAGGATCAACAGTCGAGAATATTTCAGCAATCACACAGCTCTTCTCCTCGGACTGCATGCAGTCTAACCATCGGGTACACGTCCGTCCGCATGACGATCGACTAAAAGTTGCATATAGCTATTTGGTGAGCTTCTGAGTATGATAAGTTTGACACAAACGTCTTTTCGCTGGTTGTTTGACTCTCAAGAAAGCAAGTTAGAGTTGATTATCGAGCATTTTCATGGCCGCCGATGACTTTCATCCCTTTTTCTTCCTTGGGTGCAAAATTCTCGTGAGATTGTATTTTCTAATCACCGTGAGCTGTTGTCTCAACACTAGCTGGCATAAATATTCGGCCGCACAATTCAACGCTCGGCTCGTTTTCTCCTAAATCGACTGGTTTCTCATGATTGAATATATATACAACGATGATTATCCATGAATTCTCAGATCTCGTACTCGACAGACCAGCTCAAACACAAAACTATAACCCCCAGAAATAAATCCTGCCCTACCTAGCATCAGCCGTAATCCAAATCATGAATTCAGTATCCAGATCGCTGCACTTCTTGAAGAACTCAAAAATGACCATTCCTCCCGAGTTCATCAATCGCTGTAATTTGTGTTTTTCCAACTCCCCCTTCCCTTCTGATTATTGCAAAGAGAGCGAGAAATCTAGATATATGCGGGAGAGATGAAGGAACGCTTTATAGGTCGAATGTGGTGGTACATGATCACCCGGAGATGGTTAATGCGTTTAGCTGTTGGTAGAGCGTGACGCTTGTATGATGTATAGTGTTGGTGGATAGTCGTCCTTGGATATGGCGATTGAATGTGGCGATTGAATATGGCGATTGAATATGGCGATTGAATATGACCTCCGCGCTGCAACTTCATCCTCGACTATCCGTGTCGTGATACTTAATGGTTTCCGAAAATGAAAAAATATTCTTGTCTTTACTTTATACGGGAATTTACTCTCGTGCCACTAAAAGTCAAGAACATTGTACATAACTGCTAAAATTGTTTTAAATTTACTTCTATGCTTGTTAGATTCTAGTCGATTATATCTAGAGTATAGGTATAGATTCTAGCTTTCAATCATGGAATTCAACCTATTAGACCTAGATCCTAGCTTTCTATAAAGGCTAGCCTCAAATGCTAGCCTTATAATAGAGATTTCAGCTTTCAGATTTTATAAATTCTTATTTCAAATATTATAGTCACTAGACTAAAAACAATAGAGTCTAGCTATTATAAAATCCCAGTGGTATGAGAATCAATTTAGATCAATTTTAATAGCATCAGAGTAATTTATCGTACTTTATATAGCTAAAAACGGACACCGCGATCAGTGTTCGATTATTAAAAGCAAATATTGATATTAATAGAGAGGGAATAAGGAAATAGGGGTTACATCTACACATTCCCGTTTCTCGCGATCGGTTGTGCGGAGATGCAGAGTACGAGGTTGGGGGGTAGGGTAAGCTGCGAAGATGGATATTGTAGATGAGCAGAGTAGGATTGCATGAATGATGGTGGTAAAAAATTGGGTATGAGGTGTTGCTTAGGGATATGCTGAGAAGAGGTGTGGAAGTGATGGTGATGGTGAAGGTTGGGGGGAATGGGGATACGTTTTGGGGGATGGTGATTAGGGAGGGATATGCAAATGTTGTGGGGTGTTATTGGAGAAGGGGGTGGATTTGGAAGAAGGGATTAGTTTTGGAAAGATGGCTTTGGATATTGTGCAGGAGAAAGGTGATGAGGAAATATCGCTTTGCTGGAGGGGAAGAAGGCTGAGGATGAATCGGGAATAAAGTAGAGGTAGAAATAGTTTGCAGTATAGTTTAACAATAAGTTCTCTGTGGATTGGTGTCATTTTGTGCAATAAATCTATCTGACTGGGCACTTGATACCAATACTCAAAACTCCGAAAGTTTTTCTTTTTTTTTAGAAAAAGATACACCACGACTCAACTATTCGGCGAGACATTGAAAAAGGACATACCAGACTCAAGAGAGGATGCTCTCTCGTAACTCAAAACTAAAGATACATAACAGCCAATTTTCCAGGCTCAGGATTCTGAACAACAGCCTTGATTCCCTCATCCCATTGCTCAATCGAGAATTCACCCACAATTTCCATGCCACCCGCTTTTCCAAGTTTCAACAATCCGCTTTCAACAAGTTTGATAAGTCCTTTTACGTCCTCCCTCTCATACATATACTGTCCCCGAATCGTAAGGTTTTTCATGACCGCCATCATGTATGGAATGTCAATATCATTAGACGTCACTCCCATCAATGACGCTCTCCCGTAATCTCTCAATGACATCAAACACGCTCTGATATAACTCGAGCCATTTGCTTCCTGGGGTGACAAATCCAAGTATGCGTCGACCGGGCCCAAAGGTTCGATTCTCGCAAGATCTTCCTCGTAATTGCCAGTGGTCTGTACGATCTCAACGCGTTGATTTGCCGCTGCAAGTTTTTGTAATTTTGGTAGGTTCCTACTGACAGCAATGACACGTGCACCCATCGCCGATGCTACTTCCACGGCAGCTCTACTAAACAACCCAGTGGCAGGTGCCACAATGACCGTTTCTCCGGCTTTGAGATCGATTCCTCGAAATCCCCCATAAGCTACCATGTACCGAGAAAGAATTGAAAGATCTCCGAGAGAATAACCAAGACCTCCTTCGGCTGGACTTCCCAAGAGCCGTTTCTCATTCAATGCATAAACATTCTCAAGCGGTGACTTCACATACTCAGCTAAGGAGCCATCACGCCAAACCTCGATGAGCTTTTTCGCTTTGGGATCTTGTCCAAATACACCAAAACCCCATAGAATCTTAACGTCCGAATTGTCCCGACCTCGAACGAAAGGCTCGATAGTCACAAGTTGGCCAATAGATAAAGTGGTGGTGTCTGGACCGATGGCTGCGACGCGACCGACGGCACGATCGCCGGGGATAAATGGTGTAGGTGTATACAGGTAAGGCATTTTTCCATCGAGGAGTTCTTGAATACTGGGATCAATGCCTACAGCGAGGACCTTCACGATGAGACTTCCAGGACTGGGTTGGGGTGTCGCGATGGTCTTGACGGTAAGAGGTTGACCTTGAGCTTCAGCGTAAAGTGCCCGCATGGTAGCTGGAAGTGGAGAATCTGTTGAAGCCATAATGAAGTTTGGGTAAGGGATTTGAGATCAAATGAAGTGGAAGATACTATTTGTTTATTCTCTCAAGGCACCCGAACAGATCTTTATATATTGTCATTTTGTAGACAAGAGTTCACTTCCAAAGCTAGAAAGGATTCATAATTTAAGCTCATCATGGGTGAAGGTTTCGGAAAACACCAGGAGTTATTTGATTCGTTATTTAATGAATTATACATTCAATGATTCTTCTATCTTGTAGTATTTTATTCCATTTGAAGAGAAGCTAATTGGCCCTAAAATAACCTTAAATTAATAGTTCTTGCTGGCATTAAACGAATATTTAGAAAGAATATAGTAGAACTTAGCTATACTAGACTGAGATATATCGGAATTTTGAATATGTTAAAATAATTTCCTAATTTGATCACTTTTTTATAAAAATACTAGATTTTCGAGCAAAAGTAAAATACTATCTTTTTTTTAAAAAAAAAATCTAATATAAATTTTAATAATAGTTTTACCTCAATGAATTTCATTGATTATTATTATATAATATTCTTTAACTAGATATTATATAAAATAATAGTATGTCACGAGGAAACAAAATCATTGAATAATAATTGTATAATAGGATTTTATATTAAATTAATAAAAGAACTAATCTCTTTCTATAGAGAGAAAGAGAATTTAAATACTAAGTGATCTTCGGACTTCGATTATAAGAGCGGAGATCTGTTCTATATCCGATCTCCGTTTAATTAATTGACTTTAAAATATATATTATTTATCTCGCTGATTCTATAATCAATTATATGTCTAGAGCTATATAATCTAGTAATAAAACAATATCGAGTAATTATTACTATATGATATTTTTATCGAAAGGGAGAATAAATATTACTGAGAACACTTAAACTGTTATTATTTACATCAGAATCTTCTCTATATTATATTTAATTGATCCAATTTTTTATTCCGGTATGACTAAGTTCTACTCACGTACTACTTGTGTGATCGGAAAATATACAACTCCGAAGCTAGATGTACATACGACAAGTCTCAAGATACAATTCCGAAGCTAGATGTACATACGACAAGTCTCAAGATACAATTTCGAAGCTAGATGCACATACCACAAGATGCAACTCCGAAGCTAAGAAAATCGGATAAGTTCTCTTGTAGTTTACCATCTTGTGGTATGTGCATCTAGCTTCGGAGTTGCATACTTTCTAGCTGCACGAGTACGGTAGAATCTCGATAACTCCGCACAAAAGCCATCGGAATTACATGTTCAAGATCTCTTAACTCCATTATTGGCATTGCCCAAGAATATTCACCTCATCTCAAGGTATACTTTTGAGTCTTCAAAGTTGACGTGAAGATGTATATCCCTATGTATGTCATCCTCGAAGATACAAATCAGGATTAGTTTGAAGATTGCCCGCTAATGAAGCACGACCTAGGCGATATACGGACTAGCAAGTGAGTGAATACGATGTGTGGTTAGCGTGGGCACCAGAAGTGGGGCGAAATGAGGGGTGCGTATCAAATCCGTTCTTTTGAAGCTTATTCTTCCCCTTCATCAACTCGCTTATGTTTCCTTCCGTCGTATATTTTGATTTCTTCTGCTTGTTGAGACGAGTGTATATACATAAACAGACACAATGAGATTGTGATGTGATTGCTCGAAATACTTACTCAAGCAGCCAATATCATGCCTGTCAAGACGCAAGCCGATGTTAAAGAAGACAGCCAGCGAAAGCGGAGAGTCCATAAAAAGTCGCGAAAGGGTTGTCGAAACTGTAAGCTGCGGAGAGTGAAGGTGAAATGTTTCCCATGGGTCTTGCCTTGGTACGTTGGACTGACAACATGATGTTCCTTAGTGTGACGAGACAAGACCGCATTGCTTAAAGTGCAAAGATTATGGATATGCATGTAATTATGACTCCAAAACGCCAGATTTGGAATTGATCTATTCTGAAACTCCTACAACTGCGAAATCGCGAATTGAACCTTTACAATCATCATGGTCTATCGATTCTACACCATCTCAACAGATGGCCAGCATCCCCACTACCTTAGAACCATTATGCGTTGTCGGCGATGACATCTCGTCATTTGAGCTTGATAGACAGAGCCTCGATCGACTAGATCGCTTTCGGCACCGAACCGTTCTTACCCTTGGAACCCCGACTGCTGCAGGAGTATTCCATGAATTTGCCGTCTTCATGGCCTGTGAACATCCCTTCCTAATGCACGCTCTCCAAACCCTCACTGCCTGCCACGACCGATATCTTACCCTCCACCACGCAACATCATCGCGTCGCACATCAACAGAAGCCTATCACCTATCCCGCGCCGCTTCACTCTTTAACCAAAAACTCTGCGCTCCAATCGCAAACAACGACAAAGATGCTTTGTGGGCCACCGCAGCACTTCTCGGAATCGTAGCCGTATCATCAATCGAAGCTTCCTCTCCCTACGAAGCATGGCCTCTCACCTCATCAGCAGATACCGATCTCGACTGGCTACGTATGAGCGAATCGAAGACCGTTATTTTCGAGCTCACAAACCCCATGCGCAAAGATAGTATCTTCCATGTTCTATCCATCGATTACAATAACGCGCACTACAAACGCGATGGGAATCTCGATCTCTCATCCCTTCCGACTCATTTCATCGAACTCTTCGATTTAGACGAGCATTCGACCGTTGTTAATAATCCCTATTATCTGACCCTCATATCTCTTCAGCGTATCATCAACATCGAATGCAATCGATCAGCCATGTTATCTTTCCTCGGTTTCCTGACTAGTATATCTCCGCAATACAAAATTCTTCTGAAAATGAAAGATCCAAAAGCTTTGCTTCTACTGTCATATTGGTATGCGAAAGTCTGGAGAATGGTCTGGTGGGTAGAACGCAGAGCGATTCTGGAATGCCAAGCTATTTGTATTTATTTGGATAGATATCATAGCGACGATCTGCTGATTCAAGAATTGTTGTTGTTCCCAAAGCGAGAGTGTGGTTTACTTGGTTAGTGGAAGTTATTGATGAGACAGACAGCAATAGAAGTGAGGAATGAAGATCGAGGCCAAACATTCTGGCTTTACATTTGTTTTCAATTTTGTCGTAGGTATCATAATTTATCAAAATCCAATAACCAAAAGACTCTCAGAAACTTTTCTGAGCCATGGTACCTGTGTACTAGTCAGGAATTGGATTGTAGGGCGCGATAGTAAGGGGAGCTAGAATTTACCAGATCATGTTTCGAATCGCCCTGAAGCATTTAATTCATTTGCTTCGTAATGGTTCTTCATTTCCTGAATTCCAAGCCATTGCATTCCTGACTCCAACCTCGAGCTTCGCGAAAGTTACACGCTACGCATCTAAAATTGTCTTAGGGCGGGAAGAAGGAATGTTAATCGAACGAGGGGGCTTTTGTAACGAACTTCAAATCGCAACCTTGCTTGAAAGTCCTAAAATTGATTTGTAAATTTTTCTCAATTAAAGAGTATCATTAAACTATATCCGGCTCTAAAATTATGCCAAAATCCCGTGCGAACGGCTTTATAAATCACTCAGGCAAACAGAGTGCCATCAAAGTCCTTCCCACTTGTAACATTAGTTAAGGTCCAATTTCCAAAGCAAACGTATTCATAATTTGCCATGGCCGTCGCATTACTCTGACTCTCCAAAAATTTGCTCATTTCGCACATTCCATCTACCCTGCCTTTGCAAGCACCACCTCGAATGGTATCTAATGGAAGTATACCATTATTGAGTCTCATTCTGATAAATTTGTTCGTGGCGTTTGCGGGATCATATCCATATTGTGTTGGTGTGTATTGAACCTTTGAAGTTTTTTCAGCCTTTGGGTTAGCTGAACTACATCCAATGGTTTCGGTAATGAGACGAGCGCCGAATGGGGTAATTTGTGAGAGAATAAACTTTCGCTTTGGGTCAGGTGGGTATTGCGTTAGGCTTGGAGCGTCCCGAAAGTAATCCATACTCATTGCTGTTAAAGCAGATACGATAATATCGTCGTGGGAGAAATCGGCGTAGAACTTTTGGTCCAATGGGAAGGTAGTTGGGTTATCGTCGAGGGTGGAATTCACGGATGAGTTGGAAGAGGTGATGTATTGGTGTTGAAGACGGGCAAGGAGCTCTTGGACATATCCAAGTCCTTGAGCGCGTCCAGTAGGATTTCCATACGAATAATCGTACCAGTCTGGTGGAATTATCAGTATGAGCACCATGAACATCACTGAAGCCGCAAACTTACATATCATATCTAAAGTATTCTCAAACCCAGCCCACTCGTCTTCGGTGAACAACCCACAAAAGTCGCTCATACCAATATACGCATGCTCGTATGCGCAGATGCTTTGCATAGCATAGGTATCATTGTATGTCAATTCAAAACCAGAAGGTGCATATTTCTGTAATCTTTTGGTCGCGCTTCCCAAGTATTTAGGAAGATAAGTGTAAAGATCCAAATCTCCAATGTTCCAAATACCATCAACATAATCGTTGAAACAACTATCATATGAAGCCAAGGTATTATTCTCGGTTCCTCCTTCAGGAACAATTACCACATCAAATCCAGCAGTCACGTTTTCGAAAGTCGGATCTGGGATGGTGGAATAACTTGGACCAAAGAATCCTAATGCCCAATTAATTTGACTATTCTCGATTCTCGATTGTGAGGTCGTGCGCAAGGTGATCTTAGGACGTGCAGTGCCGTTAGGATATAGAGGGTCGTAGGCAAGTTGCCCAACGGATGCATTGTATAAAGTACGGCCGTATCGATTCCAGAAAGAAACACCAGAAGTGAATTCTGTAATTGCGCCCATTCCAGTCAGAAGACCATTGTCGATCATTGCGTATTCATAAGTGTTGAGGAAAGCAAGAGGACCAGTGAACGTCGCGTTAGTAGAGGTTGAGGTGAAGTTTGTAACCTTCTGAGCAAATCGCTCATCATTCACGCCATCATCTTCTGAAGTTGTCTGAAAACGCTGTGCATGCCTTTGGAGGGTTTGTACCGATTCCTTTACAAAGATTAGTTGGTTATTCAGGATCAGGAGAATAGCAACGTACAACTTGACAGCCTTCTGGAAGCCCGACATGATCTACACCGAAATAATCGTCTTCGTTGTCAGAATAGGGAGTCATTTCTCCCCAGTACTTTTGGATTCGATTAATATCAGTTAGAAGCTGGGCGGCGGTGGCCGACGCCAGCAAGGCATTAGTGGCAACCAATGTAGAAAGATACATCGTGAGATGCAATCAAAGCAAGAAAGAGAGTAAGAAGAATTGAAGATCTAACAAGAATTTCGCCGCGTTGGTTTGAGACTTGGGATTATATATGATTCTTACCATTGGAGAGGTTTCTATGTTTGGAAATCTCAAGGGACGATCGTCGTTTCCTCACCAGGCTGGTTTTATCGGAGCAGCGATATGAGCACTTACTCTGCTGTACCTCCGGCCTTCCTAAATCGAATAAAATACCCACGTTGCAAGTAGTGGCATCAGGATTCCACTATTCTCATGCACGTCGAAGCATAGTCCCCTTTATCAGATCACTTCATGTCAGGAACAACCTCGTCGCCTCTCAACAATCCCAAAAAATGTCCAGCCATCTTTAATAAGGATGACGTGGGTAAACACTAGCCTTGCATGATGGCCAATCCACGTCGTGAAGTTCGGGATAGCTGTAGCTTAATAAATGGGCTTCTTTGCACTTTTCGAGCATTTCATTTGTTGCAAATCGGTATATACTCGGGAACTAACTAGTTTCGTCCCATGGTGATTTATATGGAGTAGCGACTCAAGCTTTTCTGGGATGTAGCTCGGGGTAGCCCCCCGCCATCGGCCAAAAAAGAGAGTTTATTTGATAACCTCGTAATAAAAATAAAATTGTTCGAATTCTTATCTCTTGCCATACAATGTCGATAGAGAGAGTTGGTAATATATAGCTCAAAAGTAATATGTACAAGAAAGTAATTAAAAAATTAATTGAAAATCAGTCCAGAAATAACGATTATACCCACGTTCCATGCAATCATGAAGATAGCCTCAATTCCAATCTCCTCCATAATCCACCTCTCCTGCGCCTCCTCCTCTGATTGACATAAGAATCTCAAAATTGAATCAGAAATAGCGAACATAACAAGCCAAAAAAACAAGGACTTCTATCAATCTACAACGACAGAAACGAGATCGCGGAAGTATCAATCGTATCGAGAACAAAATAGAACCTCCAGCATTAAGAGTAAAAGGACGGAATGAATGGACCTCTCCGAGGACGACATCGAAGGTAAAATTGAAGAATTCTCGCCGGTAGAGTTGTTAATGTCGCCTTTACGCAGCCGGCTCTTGTGAATGTGCGTCATTACCACCAACTGTCACAATTAAAGAGGCAGGCGTTGAATCATTTACTGCACCGCATTGATTGATACCTCCATCAGGTGTCACATCATCATACGGAAAGCAGTAACCGAGGCCATCAACGTTTGCAGCATGGACGATTCTCGCATAATGATTCGTGATTGCATTTTCGTAATATGTCGACACCACTTCTTTATCTGGCTGGGAAGAATTGACGAGAAGCGTCGATCGATTGAATGCGGCATCAAGTCTTGCGCCAATATTCAAGAGTTGGTCAGTATTGGTAGGCTGGGCTGCAAAGGCCCCTGTCGCGCCACCAAAAATGTCTGCAGATGATGGCTTGGTAAAGGAGCCGATGCTATCAAAGGTGAAGGAAGTGAGGTCGGAGGTTGATCCGGAAACATCTCCCCACGATGCTTGAGTATTGACAGTTAGGGAAGTGCTAGCATATTTATCCCACACATCATTGATGTAACTGGTCCAATATCCTTCGAACAGTACCGGATTGAATACAATGCCTGCCGTTGGATTGAGGGCTCTCAGATTCGTACCGTCATTCTCCACAATGAGCTGGCTCCAACCGGCCCCGTCGATCGCATCTTGTGCTACTAGACCTTTGCAAACTGTCGCTAGTCCATCTGAGGGTAAACCTCCAACGTGTTTCACTGCACCACTTGTACTTTTCAGTGTCAAAGCGACAGGCAGGCACACAAAATCGACGTAGGTGATGTTTGCAAATAGCTCGGAGCTATTGTATGTAAACTCACAAAAATCCCAATTTTTCAAGTAGTTTGGATCAGAGGTATTGTTGACGGAGGGCTCAACCAATGCAGGCCCTGCAATCCCAACATCGAGCAGAAATGTCAAAGTATCTTCGATGCAGAACCAAATCCGACCGCCTGCAATATTTGGAATAGTGACCTTCGTAGTAGACCCTGGTTCTCCAAGTGGAATGGCACAGTCTTCTGTCAAGGCAGATCCGTTAGATGATGGGTTTGTAGGGTAGTACAAGGTCGACCCATCAGCTTGCAGGAGCACCACGGAATTGTTATTGTTGATGGCAAGGCCAGTCACGTATGCGTAGACGGTGCTCGAAGAACTTTGATTGACAAGTTCTATGGTAAGCGTGCTGGCAGTAACTTCAGTCTCGACTGTTTTGATTTCGGGTGGGCACAGAACGTTCTCCTTCTTCTGCCTTGCGATCGCATCCGAGATAGTAGTCATTGCTGCAGATATTAAGTGGATGTGAAACTGTTGTCTGCTCTGGAAGTTGTTCTCTATACTGGTATACTATTAAACCCTTCTCGTGCCAAGGTGGAGCTTCTTATAATGTCAGAAACAGTGTGAATATCGATGACCAGGTTTAACACTGTGGCTGGAGTTCGTGAGGCATGACTATGTTTGAGTCTTGTGAGTCCGTATGTATATTCCAACAATCTGGGTCAGAAAAGAGAATGTCAGTGGCAGAGAAAGCCTTCTAGACTGGGTTTCGAGACACTAAGCTTCCAATCCCAGATTATAGCAGAGGCAGGCACTCGAAAAAGTATGATGGCAAAGCCATGATCTCAACGACGGCGTGAAGCTTTAGAGTTTAGCTTGCCGGACCTTTCTCCACATTCATCAAATCTAGAGACAAAGATCATCCCCTCGAGGTCGTATTGAACTATCAAACTAGATGAGGGGACTTTTCATCTGCACACATACTATATCTGGTACGAAGACCAGCATCTGGGTATACGCGAGGCTGGTTGTTGCACGAGATTCACAACTGTCGCATGCTCTTTTGTCTGATAATCATATAACTAATGACGCTATTACGACAATGTTATGACAGCGATATGATAGCATTCTTTCAATAACTACCAACAAGCAGCTATGATAAGATAGAAGAATGTCTTGACTTTGATGACGACACCAAATTCGGGGTAAATTTACTTAATTCTTAAGTCAGTCTCCTGACCTAATCACCAGTAGTGTGTATTCCGCTAGACTGGAACAATGATTACGCATGCGCCGACCCGAGAGCTTTCCCCGGAAATGATAAGCTCCCGCAAGTAAAGACAGCATCGTATTCAAGGTTGGGTTTCGTAGTAATCCAATTGAAGTTGTATGTAACTGTATGAGTGAAAATAAGAGGAACTGAGACGAATCAAAAAAAGAGATATAAATTACTAATTATGAAGAGCTTCAATTGATCTGGTGTGTATTGCATTTAACTTTTCGAGACGACTACCTAGGCTCGAGCTAGATATTAGATACTAGACATATATATGTTGTAAATAAAAGTTCGGAGAATACTCCTGGATCTATCTAGCCGGCCAGGTACATTGTACAGCCTCTTTCATTGCAGCAGAGATCAAGTCACGTGAAACTACACCGCCCATCCGATGTCAATGCGCTAACCCAAGAAAAGCAATATGTTGGCAGAATTCAAGGCTGGAGTCACTGAAGTCACTGAAGTCATTACTGTCCTTCGAATCCAATGTTCATACAATTGTTTGACCCAACAGGCTTGAATTGAAAGCTTTTTGTTGTACGATTTCCAATCCGAATCTCCAGGACGCCTGTTTCGCTCTGGACCTCAAGCATCTCGACGTTACTCATACCATATTGCACAACAGACGCAATATTCTTACACACCACCTTGTTCCTTCCACGCTTCGTAAATTGCTATGCGTTAATTGCTATCTTCGCCCACTTCATTGACTGGATTCTAAGCGTCGTGTGCCGTGGCTCTTCTTGTACGACCCAAATTAAAGTTGTCGCTCGGTACCCATCGAAAGAATACCAGATAAGTGGAGGAAAGTACAGCATCGGCAGAAAATTGAAACACGATCGGCTTAGAGAGATTGTAACACCTGCAGCCTGCATTTAAAACTTGTTTTCAAGTGCGCCATCTGCTAATAATCGCCGCGGAGTATATTTGAGCAACGGGTCCAAGTGAGCGGGCAGTGGAGTGAGGTCTTGTCCAAGAGACTCCACGTTGGAATTCTTTTCGTAGATTCACAATCTGCGAGCATCATATGAGACTGATACGAAGTTTCGGAAACTTTACTTCGTTTTCAACCCTTTAACATGTCCATCTCAAGTGCTAGAACATCATTATCTTCCCAGGAGCTGACCGGCGAAGGTATATCTGTAAATGCGATGGAAGTTTATGCTATCATTTGCTGACAATGATTGACAGCAAAATTGACGGACGTTACCAAAATTGTAGAAAGCCTCAAGGCGGATTTAGAGAAGATTAGCCTTCTACCGCATCGTGAGTATGAATTGACTTCGCATAGTCTAAGATATACTTATTCCTCCTCGCAGAACGAGATGCGCTCCTGGAGCAGTTGAAGGTTTATGGTCGTGACCCTACCAATGCAGACCCGATATTTACCAAAGAGGTAGGTCACGCATATCTAAACGCAAGACGTTCCTAATTTTTGCAATAGGGAATCGAGACTCTTTCAAAGCATGCCTTCAATAGCCCTTCCAAAACTACTTCTCGAAACGCGCTTCGATGCCTCGCAAACGCCCTCCTCCTTAAGCCAGATACACGACAGATATTGGTTAGCTTGGGTTACGATGAAAGGGCTTGCGCTCTACTCAAAGATAGAATTGCATCTATTGATGACGAATTTTTGTTGTCTAGAATTATCTTTCTTACAACTTACGGTACCACGATAAACATTGAGAATCTCATCGATCAGTGTCATCTGGCAGACACCATCTCACACAATATTGCGAACCATGATAAGCTTCACGGTGTGAAGCAGAAGAAAGTCAAACAATCAGATCCCATGGAGGATATGGCTCTTGCTGAATCGCTTAAGCTTCTTTTTAACATCACACATTTTTGTCCCCAACGAAACTCCAGTTTTTCCCAAGCACTTCCTCATATTTTATCCATTCTTCATAAAATAGAGACGAATCCGAACGCACCTCTAGATTCTCCTATCGCGCAACTCGTCAACACTCTTATCAACATACCTCTTGAAGACCCAGGAAATATTAACGTGCTGTTTCCTAAAGGAAGCCCGAACTTAAATGTCGAGAAGTTTCTTGAACTCCTCGACCATTCCATCAACAAATACCAAGACGAAGAACTTGAGCAACTTGTCTCACCACTACTCACCCTCATTCGTAAAACATACGAGATCGGTCCCTCCGAAGTTCACCAATTCATGCAAACCCGGTTACTTCCAAGTGACAAAGACCGTGAACAACCTGTAGGCAGAGGAGAGTCATTGTCTGCACGCTTGATTCAATTATCAACAAGTCCCATGGCGCCCCAAGTTCGGGAATCTATATCTGCATTACTGTTTGAGCTGTCTGACAAGGACGCTAGCACGTTTGTTCAGAACCTCGGCTACGGATTTGCCTCTGGCTTCTTGTTCCAGCACAATGTCCCTATCCCAGAAAATGCCTTTGAAGCGTGGAGTACGGAAAATGATAAAGGTAATGGTAAGACAAGGCCCAGCCACGATAGTGGTAAAGCAGTCAATCCTATTACAGGGCAACTTCTCGAAGCAGAGGAGAAGATTGAACTTCCTGAGATGAGCCAGGAAGAGAAAGAGAGGGAGGCTGAAAGATTATTTGTATTGTTTGATCGGTATTTAAAATCTTCCCAAGTAAAAGATCACACAAGCTAACACACTATTAGATTGAAGAAGAATGGAATCATCACTGCGACAAACCCGATGGAGGAAGCGTTGCAACAAGGGAGGTTTGAAGAATTGGAGGATGATGCAGATTCTGATTGAGAAAGAATGGTGAAATTTGCGAGATGAAGCTAGGGGCTTGCTGGCAACTCTTACTTCCACATGTAAACCAATTTCCTTTGATGAATGATGTGAAAAGTCTTCCAAAGTTGAAGTTTTCTTCTTTCTTTTGTCCTTGAAGTAATCTATGTATCTTGTACTTGGTTATGCAGCTTTACTGCGAAATATCACAGCTGATAGATATGCAAAGACGATGGCGGCTATTGAGTCCGACCAATCAGGTCCGGAGTTAGTGAATCTGGTCTTCACTATCCATCATCAGATGGATTCACTCTGCAGTGTAACTACACCCAACACAGGGTATCCCATAGTCCGGACTACAGTCCAACAATTGAAAATCTTAAAACACTCAGTTTCTTCGAATGCTTCCACATATTGAGTTTTTTAACTTTCATTTGATTTGAAATAATAAATTTATGAAATCAACAATAGCATCTCCAGAATTTCCAAACTCGAATCTCAAATAGGAGTGCAGTCTGGACAGACGGCAAACCTGACCCAACACACCAACGGTAACGCCACTTCAATCACACAACATTGCATAAGTAACTTTTTGGTCACTTGTCTTTGCGAACAGAGAAGCACTTCTGAAATTTGCCTCTCCTGTCGCGATAGACTTGGAAGTATCATTTTTCCTAGATCGAACGTTATCAACAGCTATATAGAAGCCTTTTCTTTCACCGCAGAGAAAAGCAAAAGCCATGTCTTCATCTTGGCAAGCTCAAGCAACAGAAAGGGCTTCTTTAATTCTAGAGAAAATCCCTCGAGAATGGAGACTCTCGTCAAATGAAATTGCAGATGCAAGAGCCCAGCGAAATATTACATCGTCTGTTATTTGCAAGTATCTCAATCGATTCGAACAAGAAGTCTTGAGTCATGATTCGATCTCAATTCTAAGAAAGCTTAGGAGTGGAGAATGGACTGCTGTTCAATGTGTCCTGGCTTCTTGCAAAATTGCTTGCATTGCTCACCAAATTGTATGTTTGATTCTCTACCATCGACAATGGATATAAAGCTCACTAAAATAGAATCCTTGCTTGCTTAACATAATGATACCTGAAGCAGTGGAAAAGGCTAGAAATTTGGATGAATCCTTTCAAAATGAAGCGGGGTCCGTCAGAGGGCCTCTTCATGGTCTTCCGATCAGCGTCAAAGATCAATTTCATGTAAAGGGATCGGATACTACCATGGGCTATGTTGGATGGATTGGCACTTTTGAGGGAGATGATAATAGTAATAGGGTAGGTATGGTAAACAGCCAGACAATCTCTGAATTAGAGGAACAAGGTGCGGTAGTCTTCTGTAAAGTATGTATCTCCCATCATATTCTAGTTTGAATATTTACTGACAGTTAGGAAGACCAGCTTGCCACAAACCGTTCTCGTAAGCTTTAGTGCATAGTTGAGTGAAAGTGGCAAGCTAATTAATTTTCAGTATGACGAAACTATCAATAATATCATAGGCCAGACACTCAATCCAGTCAATCGACTTCTCTCCTGTGGTGGTTCTTCTGGGGGTATGAGGATACAAATTATTTCCCAGTGTGAATTCGATTGATCTGACAATATGCTCTAGGTGAAGCAGCGCTTATCTCAATGGGTGGGAGTTCATTGGGCATAGGTACTGATATTGGTATCTAATCTATTCTACATACCTTTAAACCCATGATTAACTTCAGCATAGCCGGTTCTATCCGCGTACCAGCTGCATTCTGTGGTATCTATGGCATCAAGCCAACTCATAATAGATTCTCTTACCGAGAGGTTGCCAATACTGTACTTCAAATACAATATTCCCTCCTAAGTATTTACCGTCATACTAACTAGCCAACCGCAGAACCCCGGGCAAACATTAATCTCCTCCTCAGTTGGGTTCCTTTCACGTTCCCTCGATGGCTTAGAATTAGTCATGAGTAGCCTTTTGTGCACATCCCCCTGGCTTCGCGATCCAGCCGTCGTTCCAATGCCCTGGCGTAAAGAGAATCGACCTGAAGCCGGGAAAAGGCTCAGATTTGGCATTTTCTGGTGGGATGGAATGATTCAGCCTCACCCACCTGTTACACGGGCATTGGAAATGGTTGTGACTGCTCTGGAGAATGCAGGACACGAGGTATTTGTCTTATTATGATGTATGATTGTAGGACAGCAGGCTAATATTGTGTTCAGGTCATAGATTGGTGTCCACCATCTCATAGTGTACCCGAGCGACTTCACGTAAGTTTTCTCGCTATACAAGTATATACTTAGGAACTAATAGAAAATCAATTTATCAGCCAGCAATAATGAATGCAGATGGATCCCATCATATTCACCAACAACTAGCAATATCCGGAGAGCCATTGATTAATGATTTACAAAACTTTTACACGTTAAAAGCACCAATGTCTCTTCTCGAATATCAAGATCGCGCACTCCAACTCCGAGATTATAGACAAGTCTACTCTGATTATTGGAATAGTACAGCAGATGCAGATGGGAATGTGGTGGACGCAGTATTAATGCCCGCAGCTCCTCATGCAGCTGTTATACCCGGGAAATGGGAACATCTCGGTATGTGCTCCATGACACAGTAGTATTTGTTGTAGGAATATCATGCTGATGGATATAGCGTATACGGAAGTTCTCAATCTTTTGGATTATACGGCGTTGGTTCTTCCAATCACTCATGCGGATAAGGATGTGGATGGACATCATGTTTATGTACCCGTTAGTGAGAAGGATTTGAGGAATTGGATCGCGTATGATGAGGTGATTTATGACGGTGCGCCGGTTGGGATACAGATTGTGGGGAGAGTATGTGAGGAGGAAAAGATTATTGGGGTAGCGAAGATTGTCGAGGAGGCTTTGGGGAGATGAAGGGAAATTTTGAGTTAGGCGATGGTAATTGCAATAATGTTGATAGTGGGTTGCAATCGATGATATTACGTATCTGATCTTATGGAAAGAGATTCTATTAATTTTGGAGGTCTTTGTGATGATCGATGCTTGTTTTCTGAACATTGTTTTACCAGATATTAAGAATTCTTGAAAATTTTCCCACTTTTTATTCGTTCTATATGGATGATCGATTTTTTCTTAACGAATATCAAGCAACGGCTTTCAAATCACCAGATCTTTTTGAATATCGAAGTATTCTCGTCTCATCCCCATGAATAGAAAGAGCCCAAACATTCACACTTCTTCGGACTATCAATTATACACACTATCCTGTCAAAGATTCAAGACTCCATAACATCAAATCGTTTCCAACATTCAGCTATCTCTGTCCTCCAATTGATGATTGAGATTGAGTAAGATTGCTCACTCTACTACCCATCTCCATCGCAGCCTTTTCTTTCCACTCTCGATAGATTTTCTTTTCCAAGATTTCACCATCGAAATTCTCAAACACATCATGATGACAATCATGCCATATACTCAGCTGTGCCCAAAACCCAGTATTAGGCTGCACCCGCGATCTCTTCTGCCGCACGAGAGCTAGAGCTTCGTCTCGATCCAAAGTCCTCTCTCGCATTACTGCATACGAAGTTAGTCGAATCAATATCATGACCCACGAAGTAAGGGTAAAGAGAGTAATTTCACCATATCCCAAAACGACCGTTCCAGATCTACTAATCCCGAGTCCGCAATGAACTAGTACGCCCTTGTTTTGACGAAGTGATGTGTCAATCATCTCGCATACATCGTTCATAATATATAGAATATCTTCCAGCGCATCATCTTGTACTCGAAAGCCATGGTGAGAGAAACCAAGTTCGAGATAGCGGGTACGAAGCCATTGAGGAAGAGGTTGATCATTTACAGATATGATTGTACATATATTTTTGCTTTGGAGATTGGAGATATTGTATGTGGAAAGTGTACTGAGGGTATTAGTAAGATGGACGAAATGGAGAGAATAGAAATTTGATTCACTCTCCGATCCATAGATTAGGCAGAATTTCGTCCATATTCAAGTTTGGGTTGTGAGTGCCGGGATTGTTTATTAATTGGGCCATTGTGATGAGGTTCGATGGATGAGATGATAGATACACTTGTTTTCTCTAGGAATGCGGAGAATATATACATATGGATAAATATGACAGATAGTGTAGTACTGGAGAAACTTCCCTCCAGGCTTCATGCTGTGTAATTCTGCAGCCTTGTGTTCGCCATGAAATTACTTACATCTGTAAGATTTGCTAGGCTGCCATCGAATTCTATTTACTTGATAGATAGTACATGACATATGGAAATGTAGAAATATGATTCAAGGGATCTAATACTCTGAACTGTAGTTCGATAATAAAAAGCGTTGAATTCCTAAATGGAGCTGGAATATTCAAAGAATTTCGTACTCTGGATTGCAGTTCGACAATCTATAGCTTTGAATTCCTGAATGGAATTGGAACATTTAAAGTATTCAGAAGTTTGAATGTATTCCGGAGATTAGCTTCCTCTCATTCATTCTGATCATGTAAAAGAATGGATATATTTCAGAAATTGAACACATTTTAGAGATTCAAATGTCGGTAGATGTAGTTTCAAGGCATTCGATACTCTAGACTATAATTCGATAATCAATAGCTTTGAATTCCTGAATGGAATTAAAAGATTTAAAGTATATCCCCTAGACTACGGGTTACGGCCGGGTTCCACTTATAATGCCTCATTAGCCAATCAAAGTATTATAATCGAAAAGCTCTTGAAATCGTAGATTATATTATCTTGAATATAGAAATATAATAGAATTTAAAAACTTTATATCAATTTTTTTTTTAAAATAAAATATATAAATCTATAATAAATCTTTTAATTATTACTAAATCACTAAATTCTCATCTTTAATCTCAATTAAATAGTTTTTATATATAATATAATTTATAAAGTTATTAATATTCTTGTTTGTATACGGGCTATATATACCGGCCGTAACCCGCAGTCTAGGGGATAGAAGTTTGAATATATTTCAGAGATTGAATCCTTATATATTTAAAAAAATTAAAAGAATAAAATAGATTTCAAAAATTGAAATACTTTCAATTATTCGAATTGTTTAAAAGAATTATTTGGATTGTCTATACGATATAGATAAATAGATTTTGAAGATCAAATTGTTTGAAATGCTTTAGAACGTCTTAGAGAATGAAAGCTCTAACATTAACATCGCAATAATAATTACGTAAAGGTCTAATTCGAGTGGAATCATTTTAACGTGGATATCGGCAGTAGCACATAGATAGAAGTTCTCTATCTTTTAAGAATATATTATAAAAAACATTGAAATATACAACAAACACGCAATCCTCCTATGGTGTAATGGTTAGCACACTAGATTTTGATTCTGGAGATATTGGTTCGATTCCTATTAGGAGGTTCTTTAATGAACATTCCTTCATTCCATACTCAGTTTGAAGCTGAGATCACAGGACTGCGATTTTTTTGGATTTTTTTTTGCTTGTCCTGTCTTCTTTTTGCTCCAAGAAAGAACATCCATGGCTTGCTCATTCCTAGATCGGAAGCCAGCTGAGAAACCCCCACATAGTGGATTATAAATAATATACTCGTAGACCATCAATACGAAGATAACCAAGCTCCTATTATTAATCATGTACACGTGATCTTCTATCATCTAATTCAGCTCCGCTTACTATGAATCAAGTCAGCCATCTTCTGTATTGTATATATCTTTTGTATCTCGTTGTACAAATTACCTGGACTCCTACCACCCAACTAAGGTTATATGATAAGTCCTAAGCTCTTTAGGTACTATCTACTTGTTTGTTTGTTTTGTGTCCCGTTACACAATAGACCCTCATGCAGGATCCACCCCGAAAACGTATTCGAGCCCGAAATGCATGCGATAGTTGCCGTAAGAGGAAGCGGAAATGCGATGGTTGCTCACCATGTTCAGAGTGTGTAGGTTATGAATACGAGTGTAGCTTCTCTCCCAATATAACGCCAGTTGGCTCCATGAAGAAAGCAAAGCTATCTCATGAGCCAACATTCCAAGGATCCCAATCTCAGAACATTTCCAATACAGTTGCATCGAGTGCTGAATCCTCTGATCTTACACAAAGGGGAGGAAAACATTCAAATCTTGCTTTTGTAATCAATGGAAAACCAGAAGAAACTGCAGCCAAATTGTTTCACCAGGAAGACATTAAACAAGGCACTGCTAGCAATGATACCACAAATGATTTATCGATTTTGGAGCCGTACAAATGCAGATTTACCAGCGCAAATAGTGCCATCGCATTCCCGAGATGTCTAGGAATGGAACTGGAGATGGCCACACCTCCACGGTTGCACAGTTATGCATGGAATGCTGGCATCCGGTCAGAAGCACCGAAACCGAATTATATGCGTTTACACGAATTTTGTTCTTGGGGATTTGCATCTTCAGCAATAGATGTTTATTTTGAACACATTAACCCCGTTTTTGGATTTCTAGAAAAGGAAAAGTTTCAACACAGATGTGAGCTTTTTTGGAAAGATGATACGGGAAGTATTGGATTCGAGGCACTTATCTGTGGGGTTGTGACTTTGGGTGCATTGTTCACGAGACAGATTGCATCTATGCTTGAAAGTGATGTCTTCGAGCATGGCCGATGCTTGCTGGAGCAAGGATCTCAGAGGCATGGCGATATGTCTCTTGAACATGTGATGGCATGGACATTACGGGCTCTTTACCTTCGGTCCACGAGTCGTCCCAATTTGTCTTCATTGGCAATCTTTACGACCGTTCATTTGGCTGAATCAATTGGCCTTCATCGAGAATTGGATACTGTTGTTTTCGCTGTTGACGGATCCAGAAAGGTCTTCTCACCAGATGTATTGGAATTACGTCGGCGGGTCTTTTGGATCGTGATGTCCCTGAACCAATTATTCGCTGCCGAATACGGCCGTTCAAAGGTTTCCTTGGACAATGTTAGATGCCAAAAGCCTATCGCTAAAGAAGGAGATTCAATCGGCGACTTGATTGGTATGGCGGAACGACTATCATATTGCACTATCTCAGACGTTGACCCTGATGCCCTGCGAATAGCGATTGAACATTTGGCGATCTTGCCTTGTAATCATTCGGGACTGACCATGATCAAGGCAGATGTTGTTTTGTGTCTTTCTCGAAAACTACACCTAACTCATTCGAAATTCAGTTCTTCCGTCTTAAATACTATAATGGTAGTTCTTCGCAGTGCCTTTGCGGAGTCCCGAAATCTGTCAGACAAGCGAGTTCCTTGGTGGAACGTGGTCAGCGTTCCATTCAACACGGTTTGTCTACTCCTGTCGATAAACACGCGTCAGAGCATATCCTTTCTACCCCAAGCCATGGACACTCTAGAATTCGCTAGCAAATCATGGGATACCCATCTGTCGAGAGAGGCTTTACATACTGCGCAAATGTTGGTCAATCGATTCATAGATATGAAGCGTGAAGATCAGATGGTTCTGGAATCCCTCCATCGTGTTGTTGATCACCCTAGTGTATCTTCGAGTACACAGAATTGGACAGGGACTATTGGAGATGACCTGTTCGGAGGCTTAAATGGACAGGATTTTGGGTGGGCACAGTTCTTCGGTGATGTTGTGGGATAATTTGGGAGTCACTCCAAGAGAATTGTCATATCCACCTCTGGTGGAGACGAATATTGGCGTCGGAACGATCTACCTGCACGTTACCACTGCTTCAAAGGAGCAATCAGCCTCAAGACTAAAGGAAGGAAGGAGGCGCAGGGGTGTTTTAATCTCTCTGCGAAGGAACAACCACACCTCTACATAGCACGCGATTACTTGCCGAGTAAGTTACTAGCGAATGGTATTTTTTTGTTCTATTTAAGGTTATGCATCGGGGCTAAACCGGAAATGTAATTGTTGTAAAAAGTCGGCTTCTGAGAATTAACCTTGAGTTTCCTTGCGGGAACTCACGTAATCGTCGGAAGTCTTTGAGGCCATAGGGCACAGCAAGTACTCACAATGTTTTACATATATACTTTGGGGCGTGTTTGGTACGATTTGGTAATTAACAGGAATATAATATAATTAACGTGGTTTATCATCGAGTGGGCTATATCATCGAGTGGGCCACTTTTCCCTCAATTCACACCTTCAACTTCTACACGCGATTTATCAATCAATTATTATGGAATCAACTAATCAAGAAGCCCGAATCTTTCTTGCTATCGAAGCTATTCATAAAGATAAAAAACTCAGCATTCGAAAAGCTTCTAAGCTCTATAATATCCCTCGTATAACTCTTCAACACAGAATGGACGGTTTATCACTTTGTACAGAAACTTGGGCGAATTGTTATAATATTATAGAATTAGAAGAGAAAGTGATTGTTCAATATATTCTTGATATGGATTCGAGAGGTTTTCTATCTAAATTAAGAAATGTGGAAGATATAGCGAATCATATTCTCGAATCGAGGGGTGCAAAGTGTGTTGGGAAGCTTTGGATGTATTGATTTGTAAAGTGTCGAATCGAATTAAAGATGTGTTTTAGTTGTATTTATGACTTTTAAAGGGCTCTCTGCGAAGATTTTAAACTTATTGAAAAGTGGTTTCGATTGGTTACGAATATACAAGCGAAATATAGCATTTTGGATGGCGATTTCTATAATTTCGATGAAACGGGCTTTATGATAGATATAATATACTCCGAAATAGTTATAACTAGTACTGAACGAAATAGTAGAAGCAAGGTAATACAATCAGGCAATAAAGAATAGACTACAGCAATTATATATAGCAATAGGGAAAGTGAAACTATACCCCCATTTCTAATGATTCAAAGACAGGTTTATCTTTCTAATTAATATACCGAAACCGATTTTCCTATAGATTGGGCTATTAAATCTATATCTAATAAATAGACAAATAATAAAACAGATTTAGAATAATTAAAACACTTCAATTGTTACGGTCAATCCGTGTAAGAACTAGCAAGAGTATATAAATAGCTCTTGCAAAGCTATTTCGGACTAATACCAATCCACACATAATTATAAATTATA